CACAAACCAATCAAGAGAAAACAAATAAATGGAATATAAACTGTAAACTATTGTTTATTAGCGAAAAATAGTATGACAATACATAAAATTAAACGAAAGGAATTGAAGCGTCTTATAACTTTTTTTTTTTTTAAGTTTGTAACTTTTAATTATTTTTTCAAAATTGACATATTAATTACTTAAGAAATGGAAGGATTGTTTTGGACAAAGACAATGCTTTTGAAGAAACAATTTTAATACAAGAATAAAGAGGTTTCTGTCAGTTGATCAAGTAAAATTTTAAAACGCTTAAATCTTTTTGGAGTCACTTTACATTTTTAAAGGAATTATTGTGGATTTTTAAAAAAAAAAAAGTTGTTCTTGTGGGTTCGTGGATCAAGTTGGGGAGTTCTAACGAAGTAAGGGTGGACTTCTTTTTTAAAGGCTGCATATATATATAATTAACTGATGAGACGTCATATATAAATGATAAGAAAGGAATCATTTTCAAAACACAACTTATGTCAACTATATATGCAATAAAAATTGCACTAATCACAACCCACAACTGTACTTCAAAGGCAAAACCATTCCCAACAAAGACACTAAAGCAATAGTAAACAATCTCCCTAGCATTTCTGAAAATACCTCCACAAACAATTAGTTTAAAAACTCTTTTAACTAAACCATTAGTGTTAACCTTCACCGACTAAGAAAAAAGAGGAATCCAATAAACAAAGAGAATCTTTGAATTTCTAAGTAAATTTTGATAAATATATAACTTGTTAAGAATATAAATTTTAGAAGCGGAGTTATGTGAATAACCTAACTTGAAAATTTTGGACGACCTCATGTAGCTATGAATAAAAGTGCAAGCAATAATTAAACTCACACTAGCCTCTTAAAAACACACCTTGTTTTTTTAAATCTCAAATAAACCAACAACAAGCCATAAAAGCAAGAAGCGAGAGTTTCTTTACTAAAGGACTAAAATTAACTCTGAATACATAATGCCAAAATTCACCAATGCTACCATTACAGGAAACTTTACAGTGAATGATCAATGTAACCCAATTCCAAAGACCAAAAGAGTAGGAACATTCCAAGAAGAGATGAATAATAGATTCCTTAGCCCTCCCGCACAAACTACAAGAGAAACAAGTTAAATACCAAATGTCTTGAGAGTAATATCCACATGAAACTTTCATATATATAACAATCTCCAAATAAGAAAAGAAAAACGAGAAGGAATCAAATGTGTCCAGATATTACAACCCAAACTAATAGGAATAACTCTAGCTCGAGCAACCTCATATACATTCTCAACAGAACAACCATCAGAGCTAGAAGTATACCAAATCAGATTATTCTCCGAATCAATGGGAATAACAATCTTATCAATCATACTCAAACAATATGGATAAGCAATCTTAAAGAAATATGTAATGTTCTGCCTGCTGTCACCACAAAATCACTGACCAAAGCCTTAAAAGAAGCCTTAAAGATGTGCCAAAATTCTAACAGTATCGGCTAGCATAGCACCACACCAATTATCAATGCAAAAAGAAAGCTTAGATCTGCTACCAATAAGCTACCAAGAGTCGAGAATAAGAGAACCAACTAAACTTCTTAAACGTGGCGCAAATAGAAGACATATGGTAAGACAATTTTAGCTCCAATCTATGCCAAAAGTTTCCACTTTTGAAAAAAGCATACCCATATAAATCATATTCCACGCAAGCTTTTTAAGGAGGATCAAATTTTACGTTTCTGAATTCCTAACCCCCAAACCACCCTCATCGAAACGAAACCCAACATTTTTCCACGCCACATATACGAGCATTCCTTTATCCATATAAAATTCCTCATACAACTTTCCGACGTAGTTAGAATCGAAAAATTATGGACAAGCATACTAGAAATTGAACTCCTCACAAGCTCAATTCTACAAGCAAAAGAAAGAAGTTTTCATTTCCAAAAAGAAAGCTAGACTACAACCTTATCAACATTAGGTCTCAAATGGGAATTTCTTGGCATACCTCAAAAATCCAAGATATAGGAAAAAGACAGCTAGCCACGACTCATACCAAGAAAAGCCCCCAATCCTTCACCAAAAACTAAAGACTTGTCCATACTAATTAGCTGGCCGAAATCCTTACCATGCTCTTCAAAAAGATCCAAAATAACCTTAAAGAGATCTTCTATTACCATTACGAAAAAATAAAAACATCATCCGCATAAAATATATGAAAAGGAGCAAAACCACTAACGTATTAGGATAAAATAATACCGCTCTCTACAAGAGAGGAAATGCTCAAACTTAAAAATCTCTTCATAAATGCAAAAAAGAAGGGGAGACAAAGGTCTCCCTGCCTCACCCCATGGTGGCCACAACCAAAAAACCTAGTTGGTCTGCTATTAAAGAAAATAGAAATCCTGAGTGTAAAATTTAGAAGTACTTGTAAATAGTCTCTGTAAAAAAATAAAAATAAAAAACGATTACAATATCTAGAGACTAGAATAAAACAAAAACAACATCATTGTAGAAACGATAATAATTAGTAGCATTGTTAATTATTGAATTAGTATTGTATTATTTTTGTCTCTAAAGATTTTATTTAATAGATTATTTTCTGAACTTTATATTTTCTTTAACAATTTTTGTCACTAAGCACAAATTGACAAGGCAATCATGTAACCGTTACGTGATGACCACCCCGTTCATTTCGCTGATTCGAGTTTAGAATTCGAGTTTTGCTACAGTAAAAAGCTCTCACAAACAATCACATCTAACTTTTTTACTACAGTAAAAAGCTCTCACATAAAATCACATCTCAACTCGAATTAAAAACTCGAATCAGCAAACTAAACGGGCCCTTGCATACATAGTTTCAATTTTTTAAGGTAGAAATAGTTTCATCAAATGCTACTCTTAAAGACTAAGGGGTTGTTCTTTTACTGTTTTTGAGTTAAGTGATTTGAGTGTAGATTTTAAGTTGAGTTTGAGTTATAACTTGAGTTAAAGTTATAATTTAAGTTTGGTTGTGTACATTTGAATTATGGTTTGAGATAAGAATCTTTTTGAGTTTGTGTTTGATTGAGTCAAAACTTGAATTTATATTTAGATAGTATTTTAATAAAAACTCAATGCTGATGAAAAATTTTAATATGGTATATGGGTGAGGTTTTATTTGTCTTTTCATTGTCAACGCATAGAAAAAAAATCATCTCAATCAGAACTAAAACGAAAAAGTTATAGCATTTTTAATAATAGAAAAAATATTGTTCATTAATTTGAGTTCGAGTTTTTGAACTCGAGTTGAAGGGGAAACTTGAACTCGAGTTTTAGTCCCAAACTCGAGCTTAAACTCGAGTTCAAATTTAAAAGAACATGAACTTAAATAAAGTTGTAACTCGAATTGTTTTTTTTTTTTTGAATTTTTAACTCAAAAAATGGGATGCCCGAACAGTCCCTAACGACCTGTTCTTTTGGAGTGTAACTTGAGTGTAGTTTTTGAGTTGAATTTGAGTTATAACTTGAGTTGAAGTTGTAACTTGAGTTTGTGTTTGGTTGTGTACATTTGAGTTATGGTTTGAGATAAGAATCTTTTTGAGTTTGTGTTTGAGTGAGTCAAAACTTGAATTTGTATTTAGATAGTATTTTTATAAAAACTCAATGGTGATGAAAAATTTTAATAGGGTATATGGGTGGGATTTTATTTGTCTTTTCGTTATCAATGTATAGAAAAAAATCATCTCAATCAGGATTAAAACGAAAAAGTTATAGCATTTTTAAGAATATAAAAAATATTGTTCATTAATTTTAGTTCGAGTTTCTGAACTCAAGTTGAAGGGAAAATTTAAACTCGAGTTTTAGTCTCAAACTCGATTTTAAACTCGAGTTCAAACTCGAGTTCAAACTTAAAAGAACATTAACTTAAATAAAGTTAGAATTCGAGTTACATTTTTTTGAGTTTTTGAGGCTGCAGTATTAACCAAATCTATAACATTAGCGGTTACTAATTATGTGATATAGAGATGTGATGTGATTATTTCTATTAACTTTGGTGAATTATGTGTTGAAAAAACATAACCACATACATGACATCTACTGTTAATCATCTAGAACACTAATTTTGCATGTCAAGAATTTGTCATTTGGTCAGAAATCAAACACAACGAACCTAGGCCCATTAGAGAATTTGCTACTAATATGAAATGCAAACTATGGAAACAAATACAACATGAAACACAAAGATGCACTTCCCAGAATGTTTAACAGATCGAGAAACCTCATTATATCTTGGTTTTTCAGTTTAAAGAGATGTATTATCTTCTAGGTGAAACGGATTGTGACTCCGGACTACTCTATAGTTTGTAAAGTGTTTGACATTGCCTAATTCTTTTAATTATCACTAAATAACTTTGCAAGATCAGAGCAAAAACAATGCAAAAGCAAGTGAGCGAGCACGGGCGCAAGCGAGCGCGCGTGTGTGGGGGAAAAGCTCTGTAAGCTCATGTCATGCCCCAAAAGCAAGCACTAGTGCCTAAATTCGCCTAACACTCTTGTGCACATTATTGCTTTCTATACTAATAATTCAGACGACATAGCGTGGAATAACAAAAAGGATAAGCTGAATCCTAAATTGACTTGGAAGAAATACTAGAAAAAACGGACTAAAGACAAGTCAAGCTTCACCAGAAAAAGTAGAGATGAGGATATAGCTCCTAGTAATATAACACGCAAGTCTTTCCTGCTTGAAACGTTTTAAATATACAACCAAAACTACGCAAACATTAATACTCATGATCATGTAAAGTAGGCAGCTTGTGTTAAAGAACATCTTTATTATGTTCAAGTGTAAAAATTCCTCAGCTTTTGAGTTTATGTATACAGAACCCCAAAAAATCATAGCTCTACAATTGGCTTTGGGGCAATATCCAAAGGCCAAAGGGGGAAATGAATCAGCCTAGGAATATTGTAAGCAATTCTAAAAGCAGTAAAGAAAGTTTGTAGAAACAACATCTTGATGTTGGAAAAAAATGCGAAAAAAAAAAAAGAAAAACAAAAGCCTGTTCAAAGAATCAAATTAAGTAAATCAAGCTAACTAGATCTCGTTACTTCTTTAGGTACTAAAGCTTTGCCCTTGTCATTCCACTCCTTGAAGATTGAACCTTGGTGGCAAATGGGAGTTTCTGAATCCTCTTATTGAGAGCCCAGGGACATTTGCATCATACCCCCTGTCATGATCAAAATAGATGACCACAATTGTGATGTCGTCATGAATGTCCCGCCTCGATTGGTTACTGCCGAAGGCCTTAATCTGATCATATGTATACCTCTCCTTGCTTTTTCTACATGCCATCTTTATTGCTGCTTTAAGAAGCCTTCTTGCTATTCCCTAAAATTCAAGAAAAGAACAAAGGAAAAGAGTTATAACATATTGAAGATAAAAATACGGGACACAATAAGAACTAAAAGAAAAAAGCAGAACATACTTCTTGCGGGTGTTTGTGCACAATCTCGACTGCTCTCTCACTGGATATGTGATCCCACAGGCCATCGGATGCGCAAATCAGGAATCTGTGATGTGGTTGCAGAACTCTTGTAACCACTGTTGGGTCTGCTGAGAGTACAGCTCGTCTAACAGGTTCCCGAAGATGGTATCTAGGATTTCCTGGTGTACGATAGTACTCTGGGAATTTCAAGTATGCATCACCTATGGCTTTGGACAACTGATAGCAATACACAGACAGGGCAAAGTGGTAGAAAATGTAAATAATCGAGGGATAAATGTCTCAACCTACATTTGTTAACAAGTCATATATAGTAGACAACTTTTCATTGTTGAACTTATTAACAGCACAAAACAATATAAGCAAAGTGATGGCTGCCATTTTAAAGGACTATAGGAAGTTTCAACTAGTAAAAGAGAATAAGATCAACTTGTATAATAGTAGAAAGTAACAAACAACCAGATATAATGTCATGACAGAAACTCTAAACCAGGAAAAGTAGTCATCAAAGACAAGAGAGCGAACCTGAAGTTTGCCTTTGAGACGGTAAGCGCCATTTACTTCAACAACGAGATCTTGTTCCTCGCTGTGTTCACGCATGAGTGCTTCTCTAATGCTCTGGTCTCTCAGGTTGTCGTCCTTAGTCAACTGCTCAGCGACGATCCTATTAGATACATCGTCCAAGCGACCGATCACAGCACGAGAATCGCCTAGATTAGCAACATATAATGCCCCATTCCAGACAAGTGCAACCAGACAACAAGACCCAACTGCTGTAATATTTGGATTTTGTCTAACTTCCCTACGAACAACATCCACAAGCCCCTGCTCCGTTGCAGCAATAGCATCTTTAAAGGTTTGATCAGAAATGCGTCCGGTTTCTTGAGCGATCCCTGCAACAATGTCATGTTAAGTTAGCCACATCTTAATCTCTCACGTGATTTACACAACTTTACTAATGTAAATTGCTACATATATTCTCATAAACGTCATCGATTGTATAGTTCTACGAAATTAAAGATTTCTTATGAGACCCGATATTCTTGTAATTATACTTCTTGCAATTAAATGTCCACATAATACCGGGAAAGAACAAGAAAACCTCTACAATAATCCAGAGACTAATCAAGAGAAAAACAAATAAATGGAATGTAAACAGTAATCCAGAGACTAATCAAGAGAAAAACAAATAAATGGAATGTAAACAGTAAACTATTGTTACACATTCTTGTTACATAAAATTAAACAAAAAGATTTTTCATTTTCATTAGTTGTGAAATTCCCCCAACTGATTCTATAATTACGGATACCCAAGAAATTGGAATTTTTATAGGAAAATAAAAAAAATAAAAAAGGAAAACCCCAACTCCCAAGAGAAAGACGAACCTTGACTTTTATTCGTAACAGCACAGAACAAGACAATAAAGGGCGCGTTTGGCATTTCCTTTAAGGAAATTATTCTTTTTTATTTCTACGGACAAAAAAAGAAAATAGTGTACAAACTTTTCCTTTAAGGAAATTGTACATGAAAGTGATGAAACCGCGAAAATAGCCAAACTTTTGCTTTTCTACAAAAATTCATCATCCCAAAAAAAAATCACCAATAATTAAATAAATAGACAATTAAAATAAGAAAATGAAGAAATGTGCAAATTCTACAAAGAAATCCCGAAAATGCAGTTTGCTTTTCTACAAAAATTCAATCCTTTGATTTAAAAATAAATACAGCATTAATTCACCAATAACTAAATAAAACAACTCAGTCGGGAAAAAAAAAAAAAACTAACTAAATAAAACAAGAAATTAATCAAAACAAGAACAGAAAAAGAAATGCACCAAAAAAAATGTACAAATTCTAATAGCAACCGCAGAAATAGCAAAACTTTTGCACCAAGAAAACAAATCATCAACAAAATAAATAAAACATGCAATCAATCAAAACAAGGAACAAATAAATGGAATGTAAACAGTAATCCAGAGACTAATCAAGAGAAAAACAAATAAATGGAATGTAAACAGTAAACTATTGTTACAAACATTCTTGTTACATAAAATTAAATAAAAAGATTTTTCATTTTCATTAGTTGTGAAATTCCCCAACTGATTCTATAATTACGGATACCCAAGAAATTGGAATTTTTATAGGAAAATAAAAAAAATAAAAAAGGAAAACCCCAACTCCCAAGAGAAAGACGAACCTTGACTTTTATTCGTAACAGCATAGAACAAGACACTAAAGGGCGCGTTTGGCATTTCCTTTAAGGAAATTATTCTTTTTTATTTCTACGGACAAAAAAAAAAAATAGTGTACAAACTTTTCCTTTAAGGAAATTGTACATGAAAGTGATGAAACCGCGAAAATAGCCAAACTTTTGCTTTTCTACAAAAATTCATCATCCCAAAAAAAAAATCACCAATAATTAAATAAATAGACAATTAAAATAAGAAAATGAAGAAATGTGCAAATTCTACAAAGAAACCCCGAAAATGCAGTTTGCTTTTCTACAAAAATTCAATCCTTTGATTTAAAAATAAATACAGCATTAATTCACCAATAACTAAATAAAACAACTCAGTCGGGAAAAAAAAACTAACTAAATAAAACAAGAAATTAATCAAAACAAGAATAGAAAAAGAAATGCACCAAAAAAAATGTACAAATTCTAAGAGCAACCGCAGAAATAGCAAAACTTTTGCACCAAGAAAACAAATCATCAACAAAATAAATAAAACATGCAATCAATTAAAACAAGGGGGGGAAAAAAGGAAATGCGCCAAAAAAGAAATACAAATT